GATTTTTTGGAGGAGGGAAGGGGGGTCTGGGGGGTAGCTGTAGCTGCGCAGGCGTTTATGCACATGCAGAACCCCTGCCTGCTGGCCAGCAGGAGATGGCTTCACTTGTTCTTCTTGTCCTGGCAAGAGCAAGCGTTCATAAAAATCAGTTTGGGTCTCCAAAACTGATTTTTTTGGGCGGAGGGAGGGGTGGGGGGCTGGGCAAACAAAAACCAGTTTGGATCTGCAAAACTGATTTTTTGGGGGAGGGGGGGGGGGCTTTGCGGGGGGGTTGGAGAGGGGGGGGGCCTGCCTGCTGGACAGCAGCAAGACGACTTCACTTGTTCTTCTTGCCCTGGCAAGAGGAAGCATTCACAAACATCAGTTTGGATCTCCAAAACTGATTTTGAGGCGTGGATCTGCGTGCCTGGCGGCTAGCAGGAGGTGGCTTCGCTTGTTTCTTCTTGGCCTGGCAAAAGCACGCGTCACCGAGCTTTTTTGGGGGGCTGGGGGGCTCTGCAGGACTTCACCCTCTTGAAAGGTCCTGTGGGCATTCACAAAAATCAGTTTGGATCTCCAAAACTGATTTTTGGGCGGGGTGGAGCTGGGGGGGGGGCTTCGCCACATGTTGAACCCCTGCGTGCCTGGTGGCTACCAGGCGATGGCTTCGATGTTTCTTCTTAGGCGGGGTGGAGCTGGGCATGCTGAACCCCTGCGTGCCTGGCGGCTAGCAGGAGATGGCTTCGCTTCTTTCTTCTTGGCCTGGCAAAAGCACGCGTCAGCAAGATTTTTTTGGGGGGGTTCACCCGCTTGAAAGGTCCTGCGGGCATTCACAAAAATCAGTTTGGATCTCCAAAGCGGGGTGGAGCTGGGGGTACTGCGCCACACGCTGAACCCCTGCGTGCCTGCCGGCTAGCAGGAGATGGCTTCGCTCGATTCTTCTTGGCCTGGCAAAAGCACGCGTCACCATTTTTTCGGGGGGCGGATGGGCTCTGCAGGACTTCACCCTCTTGAAAAGTCCTGCGGGGTCTTGCTCACATCGCCGGGCTCTGCCATGGGAGCATGCTGCTCCATGTTGTGCGCCCCGCTCTCAGCAGGAAAATGGAGGTCCAAGTCCTCCTGTTCAAAGGTGTATTACAGCGTGTTTCATGCCCGGGATACCGTGGATACATGGTCGCCATGCCCAGGTTTAGGCCGCGCCTTCACCTCGAAACTTCCTCCCCCTGGCATTGAATGAACAGGCTTGTCCTGTCAAAAGGGCGTGTATCGAGCGCATGTCTGTATGTGTGGGGATGACACTGGATTTCGATGCTTATAGGACGAGTTTGGGAGTGAGAAGGTATCTTACTTACAGGGTGAGTTTAGGAGTGAGAAGGTGTCGCACTTACAAAACGGGTTAGGAGTGAGAAGGTATCGCGTCCTCAAAGGTGTTCAAGCTCGGTGCCGGCGAGGCCTTCGCCTTCACCATCAGCTTTCGAACCTTTCCCACGTTCAGGGTCAAGGGTCTTTGGATGGGTTTGCCTTTCGGGATTAGGTTTCTAACAGGCCTTCCGAGGCTCGGCTTCCTTCTTGTCTGCCTGACAACTGTCAGCTTCCAAAACAAGCCTCCTCACCACCCCCCTCCCCCACTGAGAAAAAAAACAGTTTGGAGGCTGAAAACTGATTTTGCGCGCTTGGTGGCCTCTACTTGCCAGTCTTCCAGCGCGACCATCTTCTGAGACTCCTCAAGAATGATCTGGACGTTCCCGTTCTCCAAAATCTTGCTCACTCGCCCACGTGTGCCGACGGGGTAGGCGAGGCAGGCAGGCGTTGTGCACACCCAATCTCCTCTCGTGCATTTTCTCGATGCCAGCCCACACACTTGAGCAAAACGGTGGCGATCATCTTCACTCAGCACATGGAGCAAGTGCTGAGTCACGCCTCCGGTAAACTGTCTGGTGGCAATCATGTCTCTTGGAGTGATGGTTTTTCGGTTGGCATGGCTGGCGAACTGATCATAGCCACGCAGGAGCTCGACGCACACACTTTCAGCAGCTACCTGCAACACGGCCAGCGCCTCGGCCGACACCTTCGGCACTTCGTGGGGAGCCTCCCCCGGCTGGCGCTCGGCATTCTTGTACCAAACCACATCCTTGACAACGTCGTTAACGAGCCGCTTAAACGGCAGCTTCTTGATCGCGAAATCCTTGCTTGCCTGCATCTGTCGAATCTCCCGCTCGGCATTCTTGCCTTGCTTGTATCCGGAGACAACGCAGCCCTTGTACTTGCCAACGCGCTTTGGCTTCTGCGGCACGTCGTCCAAGATGAGACAGAAGACGCTGAGGGGGAAGTCTTTCGGGTCGGGCACATGGCTCGACTTCAAGGAGAAGAGAGTGCCCGAGGCGTCGAATATGGCCCAGTCCTGTCTACGAGGACCCCGTCAACCCCAACCCCGTGCATGCCCAGCTATTGCAGATCTCCTCTGCACGCTTGCCTTCGAAAAACTGCTGGAGGAGCTGGCCCCAGTCTTCAGAGAAGGGCAAGCGAAAAGCAGGGTCCTCGTGACTAATTTGACTGCCAGTTTCCCTGAACACAGATGCAAACGAAGCTGGCCCAATCCTGGCTCAAGGGAGGCGGGAAGTCCGGCACGAGGGGCGAGTTCACATCCAAACGAGACGGAGCAGCAGCCTGCACGAGGGGTTTCGGGTTCAGGGTATGGAGACTCCGAAGCCCACCGCGCAGTACACAGACACAGCAGCCTGCGCAGACCTTGCAAAGACTCGAAGAGGAAAGTCTTCAACTTCACAGCCGCAGGCCGTGTCTAAGTCCAGGCACCGACCTTGCTTGTCAAAAAATGACATAGTCCTGGCAGATTCCAGCACGAGCACATGTACTTGTTGTTTGTGCATGGGCTCTCCTCCAACCGACGCCCATCGAAGAAGTGCAGGATATTTGCCCCGTCGAGAAAACTCACCTCCAGCTCGGGAACCTGCACTTTTCAGTTGCCTCTGGGCACACGCAATGGGCTCTCACGCAGACCCGAGAGTCCCGAGAGCGGTCCTTGCCCTGAAACGCGCGGAAAAGCAAATCCTGCACCACACGCCAAAAAACAGTTTCCAGGCCTAAAACTGGTTTTGGGTGGGCAGGGAGCGCAGTCCTCGGACGGCTCTGCCGGGTCTGCAGCCGCCTGAGCTTCCTTGCTCTTGCTGTCGGGAAACGCAAAACAGTCTGCGGGCCAACTGGTCTTCGGGCTGTCCTGCGAAAGAACTTCGGACGTGGGGCTTCGGACCTGCAAGTTTGGAGAACATGAAGACTGCGCGCGTGAGAACAAGACTTCCGGCCTCAGACTTGCGGGCAGCACGCACAGGCGACGCCATGCTCGTCTGCAGCAGGCCTGCAGGACTGCCGTCGCCGGGCCGACTTGTCTATTGCGCGGTAAAACTTCTCAACAGACACAATGGCATGATTTTCACACGCATCAACACTTTCGCTGACATACCTCTTCTGAACACCCTTAAGGCGTAAGAAGGGTCAACCTGGCTTCCATCTACGTGCTAGAGACGTCTTCTGATGACCTTCAGGCAGAGCTTGCAAGAGCGCTTGCTGCTGCAAGTTCACTGGCAATACGTCCGCCCAAGCGTAATGCAAACCGAGTTCGGACTGGTTGAGCTCCACCATACCTTCTCCCAAGAGCAGCTCCATCGCAGGCACTGGGATCAACATCCTCTTGCCATAAGCTTCGCCCGGAACTTGGATGAAAGGCGGAGGACGCACTGGCAGCGGCAGTGCTGCCGCGCCCTCTTCATGTTCTGCAGCGGCCTGGTCCACCAAAGCGCCTGAGAGCAGGTTTTTAGGTCGAGGGTGGAGGAGTTGGGGCGGCTGGTCCCACACGGCCTGGCATGGAACTTGATACTGCCAGAGCAGGTTCCTGTCCTGCGTCGGCCTGGTCATCCAAAGCACCTGGAGAGCAGGTTTAGGGTTTTAAGGTCGACAGTGTGGCTGGTCCCACATGGCCTGGCGTGGAACTTGGTATCGATGCCAGAGCAGGTTCATGTCCTGCGTCGGCGTGGTCCAAAGTACCTGGGGAGCAGGTTAAGGCGTAGGGATCGAGCTTGGCTGCGTCCGGGTTTGGCGGCTTACGGCAGGGATACTGCTCGCAGGGGCACTGTGCAAGCTGGTAGCAACAGCAGGTGCCTGGAGAAATGGCTCCAAACAAACACGATTAGAAAAAGTCTTTTCACAAGCCTGTGCTGCCACTTGAACATATCTCAACACAGGGCCTGCAAGTTTGCAGACGGTTGCTTCCTCTTCCGTTTTTTTGGCGAGCGAGCATCAATGCCCTGGCAATAAGCACGACAAGCCCTATCCCAACAAGAGAAAAGCTCTGCAGGCTGCCCCGACCTCGTCATCTGACCTTTGTCCCCGTTCAACGACTTCGACTTCATCAGCTGTGGCTAGCAATCGCTTCTCACGGCGCATGCCCAAGAAACACTCAATGGCGAATTGATGCTGGCACGCACCGTGCCAGCAATTGATCCAGCACGTACAAGAGACCCGTGGCTCCTGCGGGTCTGAGAGGAAGACAAAGCAACTGTGAGCGCTTGCCCTCTGTAAAGCTTAGGCAAGACAAAAAACGAGAGACCGGCTGTCCTTCCCAACTCGCCATACCAGGCAATAGGTGTTGTGGAGATCACGGTAAGAGTCGAGGTCAAACCTCAACGGAGCCTGCTCGGATTCATCAGCCGGCTGAAGTATGCCATCTTTTCGCAGAATGCCTTGAAGTGACTGAACGTTTCGAGTCCTCATATGGGTGAGCATCTTCATGGCCGTGTGCGGGGGGATCTTGAGCGGAACTTTCTGCGCCATGCAATACCACACAGTTGGACCATCAGGGCTGTCCGAGGCAGATTTCAGCTTGGAATAATATGGCGAGTTTGGCAACCGCATTCGCCGCAAAATCGGCTTTATGCCAGCGTAGAAACATGCCTCTCCAAATGGCCGCCTAAGGACCCGCCCAGTTGACCACATCCAGTCGTCCGGGGAGGTGGGACAACCCATGGACAGGTTGTCTGGCGGGGCTCGGAGGGACACCACATTCTGGCCATGCTCCTCGTTTGCAAGCAAAGGCTCTGCCCAGGTCTCCAAGACCTCGCAAAGCGAAGTCACAACCGCGGCATGCGTGTTCAGCCTGCGCTGACCTCCGGCTGACTGACTTGATCTGGAAAACAGAGCAATATAAGCCCAGTCCAGAATACGAACATGTAGCAACCAGATATGTGGGGAACGAGCAGTCAACCTGTGAGAAATCTTGCCTCCTCCCCCCACCCCCTCCCCCAAACCCTGACATTGCAGACAAGAAGCTTCTCATCAAGCGCTTGAAGGCGCTGTTCAGAGACTCAATCGGCTGCTGCGAAGCTGGCCGACCGCGCAAACCAGAACCAGGGCCCGACCACCAGGGACCATGCCAAAAGAAAGAAGACCCGTCTTCTTGTTCCTGTCTGGGCTTTTGAGAAACGTACTGTTTCTGGTAGTATGCCAACCACCGCGTCTCTTGCCAAACGTACTGCACCCTTTGAAGCACAGCATTGAGGATTGTGTGAAAGAAGGCACGTGTCGGCAAGAACAAAAACTCTGTAAGCAGCACCAGCCAGGCGCCGATGTTCCTTCTCGAAAGGTGAGGAGCATCCTGCTTCTGCTTTTTGGGCCTGGCCTGCGCCCCTGCTTTCGCCTTTGCCTTCGGCTTTGCTCTCGCCTTTGCCTTGGCTTTGGGCGATTGGGACAAGCCTTCTTGGCGAAGGTGCTTTGCCGCATGTCCTTTACGATCATTGCGGATCAAGTTCTGTCTCTGGTGCCACATGTCCGGCACCTGTCGGACACGCGGAAAGATGGCAGAAACTGCCTCCCGAGATCCAGCGAAATAGTCCAGATTGATTTGGTCAGGAAACCGAATATTCCGTCTCAACAGCTCAGCCTTCAGGGCTGCAAAGCCCCTCTCATACTGATCGCGGTTCTCTCGCTTTCCACAGAGAACTACAAGGGGCCAAGTGCTGCGCCGCCACAGCCCAGCCAACTTCCTCATAACGATCAAAGCAATGATGCCGTAGCTGAAACCCATCCACTCCAAATTAAAAGTGAAGTCGCTCGTGAGGCAAAATATCTCCAGCAGGCCCGCATCATGCTGCTCCTGCAACAAGTCGAAGAAGGAGACACACAGCACCACCCAGCTGAACGCTCGTACATCCAAAAAGGAGAAGGCAATGGGACCTACATCCGGATTCATGTACTGCGAAGCAAAGCTCTCGAATTGCTCTTCACTTCGGAGGAACTCAGAAGTTGCGTCGCCAAAATTTCGGTGCCGCCACTGGAGGACACTCCGCATGGGCTTGTCCGCCACACGGTCGTGGCCAGCAGCTTTCAGCCTAACAGCCACAGCTGAGGGAGTCGGTTTCATTCCATGCATAAGAAGAAACTCTGCAGCTTCTATGACATGTTGGTGGTCTTGGACTGAAAGGGTCGGAGAAGAAGCTTTGGCACTTCGAGTCTTCGCGCGCACGTCCCCACTGTGGTCATCTGCATAAGAAACATGGAGCTTGTACGTGGTCTCTGTCTCCCACCTGCCTCTGAACCTCCAAACAAGACCAGCACCACTGTGGCAACCCTCATGGACTGCGCAATTCGCTGTTGTTTCATACTCCATGCTTGGCAGCAAGCGTGGCGTGCGAAACTGTCCCAGCTTTTCCCCTCGAACCTTCGACCAGCGACGGGCAGCCTGTCGGATGACCTCTGCGGGGGCGCCGGTGAGCTTGCAGTCCACCAGCCATTCTTCAAAAGGCGTACTCAAGAGAACGTCTGGAAAAGCTTGCCATGGCTGGTCAGGAGCTGCTAAAAACCAGTTTCACGACCTATAACTGTTTTCTTCGGTCTTGCCCTTGCTGCATCTTGGACTCCCGAGACCTCCCAAGCCATTTGAACGGCTCCGACAGAAAGGAAAGATTATAGGTTGAGTGAGGGTTTCGGGTCAGGGCGCTCTCGGGCTGTACTGTTCAGAGACAACTTTCTTAAGCTTGGGCCAAGCTCGACTGCCTTCTCTGCAACTTTGCCAGGCTACGGATGGCCAGCTGCCCAAGAGCTTTGTTCTTCACTACATTTCCACTACATTCCTTCCTCAGCGGTCGTGTGTTTTATAGGGTTTATGTTTTAGGCTATATAGGCCATGGGTTTCAGGGTCTAAAAAGGATCTCTAGGACCCTGAACTCGGACCGTCTTGCACTCTTTAGCTGGTGTTGGCTCACTCGGCTCAGCAGTTCTAAGCTTCGGGCGCCGGCACCGACTGTTTTCAAGCAAGTAAAACTGTTTGTCTGTCTGTTTGTCTGTCTGTCTGTCCATCAGTTCTCTGTCTCTGTCTCTGTCTCTGTCTCTGTCTCTGTCTCTGTCTCTGTCTCTGTCTCTGTCTCTGTCCCTGTCCCTGTCCCTGTCTCTGTCTTGTATGTATATGTATATATACCTATGTATAGACAAGAAAACAACAGTCGGTGCCAACACGTCAGGGACATGAAAGCGGAAGGCCTGCGAAAGGCTACGTGGCTATACACACGAGGCAGTACGGCAAGAAGGCTAAGCAGTCGCGGCCCATGGCCTGCAAGCTGCGTGCAGGACCCGGCAGGCCCTGCAGATAAGCACACACGGCCAGTGGCCTGCATGACGGCTCACCACGAGCTGACTTCACGTAGCGCCGTTTGGAAAAGCGCTGTGACGACCCGGATCTTGTCCCCGCCATCGCGGCTAGGGGATCTGCGGCGCCTCCTCCTCCTGCTCCTGGACCTGTCCCTTGGCGGGGACCTCTCCTTTTTGTTCTTCTTTTTCTTTTCCTTTCTCCTGCCCCTGGTCTCTTTCCTTTCCTCTCCTTTCAGCGGCTCCTTTTCCTTTTGCTCCTGCTCGTCAGAGGAGTCAGAGTCCTCGTGGTCTTGGTTCCCTTTCTGCTGGTCCAGCCACTCCTTTTCCAGGCGCTGCTGCTCAGCCTCAGCTAGCTCTCTCAGCTGCGGCCACGTTGCTCGGGGACGCTCTGCTTTCATACGCCATTGCAAGCAGTAGAGTCCCCGTTGGTGAGCTTGCATGCCTGCTGCGCCGCCTTCTGGCCTGCGCCAACAGATCTCGCAGAACGAGCCTTTGCCTCCACGACGCCGAAGCGGCTTTGCCGCAGCCTTGCCTTTCAGGTGCAGCTGCTTTGCCTGCTTTGGCGGAAACGCAGGCTCGCTTGGTTTTCGGCGGTCCTTTTGGCCGTCTTCTTCTTCTTCCTCGTCGGAGTACTCGTAGGAAGAGCTCCTCACCTCCTCCCTTTCTTCCACCTCCTCCCTTTCTTTCTCCTTCTTGTCTCCTTCCTCGTGGCGTCTGCTCCTCGCCTCTTCCTCCTCCGACTCGCGGCTCCTCTGCTCGTTTTCCGTTTTCTTGCCTTCCCTTTTTTGGTCCTCCCTTTCTTCTTTTTTTCCTCCTCCTCCTCCTCCTCGTCGTCCTCCTCCTTCACCGCGACCTGCGGACAAGGAAACAGCGAGGGGCTGGTAGGGTGTGTGTGCGTGTGGGCGGGTGAAATTTTTCAAGGGTGTATTATATATACGTTTGTCCCATCCTGCCGTCTCCGGCGGCCCGCAGGCTCTGCCATCTTCAGGGGGGGCGGCCCGCAGGCTCTGCCAGCTCTAGAAAGGCGGCCCGCAGGCTCTGCCAGCTTCAGGGCGGCCCGCAGGCTCTGCCAGCTTCAGGGCGGCCCGCAGGCTCTGCCATTTGAGATGGGGGGCTGTCTGTGCTTCTGGTTTTGTTTCTACATATGTAGTTTCGAGGGTCATAAGACAGAATGAGCGGCGACCATGACAACTACTTTATAACTCCGTAAGACAGTTCGCATCACGAGCCTTCGCGCGGCCCAGGCATCGTGCCCATGGTGGCACAGCACAGTAGACGAGCCAAATTGGCTGCGACAGGAACATCCCGGTGGCCCACAAGCAGTTCTCCAAAGCTGTCTTGGGCTTAGGGTTCAGGATCATGGGAGGTCGAAGCCTTCAGGCACCGAAAGTGGTTTTTAGGCCCCGAAAGTAAAAAAAAAACTGGTGTTGGACCTCGAAACTAGGGCCATTCATGAGAAGACCAGTTTTAGGCACTGAAACTGGTTTTGGGCCTCCAAACTAGCATCCTTGACCTCAGAAAACCAGTTTTAGGCACTGAAACTGGTTTTGGGCCTCCAAACTAGCATCCTTGACCTCAGAAAACGAGTTTTAGGCACTGAAACTGGTTTTGGGCCTCCAAACTAGCATCCTTGACCTCAGAAAACCAGTTTTAGGCACTGAAACTGGTTTTGGGCCTCCAAACTAGCATCCTTGACCTCAGAAAACCAGTTTTAGGCACTGAAACTGGTTTTGGGATCCTTGACCTCAGAAAACCAGTTTTAGGCACTGAAACTGGTTTTAGGATCCTTGACCTCAGAAAACCAGTTTTAGGCACTGAAACTGGTTTTGGGCCTCCAAATTTGGGCGGGATGGCCTCCAGGAGGGCAGCCCGAAAAGGGCAGCAGCCAAGGAGCCGAACGAGCCAAAAAACGGCTACCGACAACCTTGTCACATGAACCCTGACAAAGCTTGTCACTGTAGGTAGCAACCTTGTCACGTTTGCACGGAATTGTCATGGTAGCCTTTGACTCTGACTTTAAAACATTCATCATCTAATTAAAGCTCCTGGAACAGGTCGCCCTGACAAAAGGTGGGGAGGTTTTCTTGGATTTTGTCTGGCAGACAAAACCAACGTATGACGCATAAGGCAAAAAAATACCCCAGCCTGCACTTACAGTAACCCAGACGCCCTTCACAAAAGGGAAAGTTACCCTACAAAAGACCCATAGGGTTCTTGCCCTTAGGCTCAAAACAGCCCAAAAACCTTCAATACCAAGACCTTTGGGCCCAAAGCCTTAAAATGGGAGTCCTTGGAGCCACAGGCAACCCTGAACCCTAACCCAAGGGATCCATGCACCTATATAGTATATACTTGGGCCTTAAAGGGATTCCTATATAGTAGCTTTAGGGCCCAAGTATATACTATACAGGTACATGGATTGTTTGGGTAAACCCTGGTTGCTAGGGTTTGAGAGCTTTGGGGCTCGGATCCAGAAAGGCGAGTGCCCACGAAGGTGCCGTTTTCAAAGGCGGCTTCGGCAGAAAGTGCGGTTTAGGGTTTAGGGCTTAGGGTTTAGGGTTTAGGGTTTAGGGTTTTGGGTTTAGGGTTATAGGGCTCTTCAGGGAGAGGAGTATTAGGGAACCTTGGGGTGCATGCCCCCCTTGAATCCCCCTCCCTTACGAACCCTATAACAAATCTAGGGCTTCGGCCGCGAGTTGAATGTCAAGGCTGAATACAGCCCTAAACCCTATGGAGCCAAAGTCCTCCCCTCTCTAACTCCGAAACTTAGGGCTTGGGGCTCAGGGTTTAAGGCTTACAGGGTGGGGCCCCCTTACTATGCTAACTGTAGTTAAGGGACTTATAACCTAACTTAGGGTCCTTATAACCCAATTTAGGGCCCTTATAACTCTACTTATAACTAGGGGGCCCCACCCTGTAGGGCTTAGGGGTTTAAGGGTTTTCCTGGTTCCTACTTCTTCGCCGCCGAGTAGGAAGCGCCGGGGTGAAGCGTGTCCCTGCCCGGCTGGTCCTTCGAGTAGGAGCCTCGGTCCAGAATTTAGGGGACTTGAATCCAAAACACTAAACTCTGTAAAACCCTATAAACCCTATAAGCCCTATAAACCCTATAAACCCTATGAACCCTATAAACCCTATAAACCCCATAAACCCCATAAGCCCTAAACCCTAAACCCTAAACCCTAAACCCTAAACCGCTCTAGGGAGCTTTCGGGTGCTTTAGCTGGGCACAGGAGCCTCAGTGGGTTTCGTGGGCTTCAGGGCCCGGCGGCCCGAACCTTCGAGGGGTTTAGGGTTTAGGGTTTAGGGTTTAGGGTTTAGGGTTTAGGGTTTGAAGACTTCGGACTTCATGGCTTTAGGGTTTAGGGGTTTCTAGGGTTCATGTGGTTCAAGCGAGATAGAACTCCTGAGGCTACAACTGAAGGTCCCAAAACCTAAACCGAACGCCGTAAACCCTAGGAAAAAAGGCCCCCCTCCCCTCCTTCAAAAGGGGCGCCTTAGTTGCGAACAATCCCTCACACCTCTCTAGAGACCCTGTCAGCCCTAAACCCTAAACCCCAAACCCTAAACCGAAACTTGGCCCTAAACCCTAAACCCCCTAAACCCTAAACCCTAAACACTAAAGTTGTAAGACAAGGCAGGCGACGCCAGTAGGGGAAGACGTCGCCGCCTCGGCTCACCAGTGGCCTGCGCAAGAGCCGCAGGCATCCAGGCAGCTTAGGGTTTAGGGTTTAGACTTTAGGGTTTAGGGTTCCGGGTTTCGGGTTTAGGGCTTAGGGTTTATAATAGGGTTCCGGGTTTAGGGTTTAGAGGGTTTAGGCTTAGGGTTTACAAGTTTTTTTGGGATCGAGGTTTCCCGAAACGTTGAGCCGGAAGTCTTCGGAATTGGAGGCTGTTTCGTTCGGGACTTGTGGCTATAATCGTTCCGTGTACTTAATGGAGATGTAAGGGTTTAGGGCTTTTCGGTTTACAAGATTTGGGGCTTAAGGGGCTTGGGGCATTGCAGGCGTGTTGAGGGTTAAGGGCATAGGGTTTGGGGTTTATTAGAGACATAGTGAACATCAAGATGAAGCATACCATTCTTAAACAGACACGGAGAATTGACGAGCAAGAGAGAACACAGCTTGCGCCGTCATGGCACCATGAAGCCTTGCAAAGCCCAAAGTGGCTGTAGCACCGAACCTCGAAACCCCAAGCGAACCTTAAGTCTCGAACCACCGAACACCCAAGCCAACACAACCTCTGAACCCTGAACCCTGAACCCTAGACCCTAAAACATACAACCCTGAACCCTAAACCCTACAACCCTAACCCGCAAAAAGGCGCCAAAGCCCTGAGGTCAGTCAAGCGTCCAGGCAGCATCAAACGCCGAGACCAGGGATGGTGGCAACTGCTGGGGTGAGAAGCACGCCTTGAGATTCCTGAGTTCAGGGTGAAGGAGTCGGTCTAGGGTTAGGGTTTATAGGGTTTAGGGTTTAGGGTTTAGGGTCTAGGGTCTAGGGTCTAGGGTCTAGGGTCTTTGGAGCTTCGTTTGAGGGTTCCGGGTTTGTTGGTGAAGAGGCAGGTTTGGGGAGGAAGGGTTCTGGGGAGTAACGTCCGAGTTTCACCTGTCCCTCAGAAACCAAACCCTGAACGAAGGCTTAGGGTTTAGGGTTTAGGGTTCAGGGTTCAGGGTTCAGGGTTCAGGGTTTAGGGCTTTAGAAAGGTCGTCCGCAGGAGGCGAGGCTCTCGTCAAGCTGGGCCAAGGAGGAAGCACCAATCAGCAGGCCATCGCCCTTCCTTTGTTCGGGTTTAGGGTTTAGGGTTTAGGGTTTAGGGTTTAGGGTTTAGGGTGTAGGGTTTTGAAGGAACATGTCAGGGTTCTTGGGGTGTTTATCAAGCGGTGTGGGTTTTGCTACCGGGTAGTTGCATGGTTCCGTAATCTGAGCTCTTAAAAGGGTCCCCTTATGTACCCCTCAAGGCTACGGGCCCATACTTCAGACCCCTTTAATGTTAGGGTTTTTGGTGTTTTTGGGCTTTAGGGTTTCTTTAGAAATCTGCTTTCCTGAGAAGAGCTAGAGGGGCCACAGAAACTAAACCCTAAACCCTAAACCCTAAACCCGAAACCCTAAACCCTAAACCCTAAACCCTAAACCCTAAACCCTAAACCCGCACGCAGCCGGGCGTCTCCGCGCTCAGCACGGAGTGGCGCAGGAGCCAGGCATAGGAAGCGGAGACCATTGAGATGCCAGCCTCTGAAGGGGATCTATAAACCCTAAACCGTAAACCCTAAGCCCCAAGCCCTAAACCCTCAACCCTAAGCCCTAGACCCTAAACCCGAAACCCTAAACACTACATGAAGTTACCATGAGAAGCATAATTATTGTCAGTTTTTTGCTATCTCGGGGCTTAAGACCTGGGTTCTTAAGGGACTTAAATTTTCAGTGATCATGAGAAGGATACGTTCGTGCTTACTATATAGGGACTGCAAGCTAAATTGTGCCAACAGTGATACTGTATTATTTGCCACAGAAGCCTATTATGGCAGCTGACTTAAAAATCTTCGACAAGAGCTGAGTCAACCGTGACTCGCTTTAGCAGAAGCATGTACCACGAAACCCCCAATTGACTAAACTCTAGTGAACCTCTTGAGTTTATCTAGACCCCCAAATCTAGTGTTCCTGTTTGGGTGACTTCTTCTACCTACCTCTGGAGTAGACCCAGAACAAAAAGTATATACTTTTTAGGTATAAGTAGGTATAATGGGAACCCAAAACCAAAAAAAGTATTAAAGTATAGTACTCCAAAGCTCAGTCTAAGGTCCGCAAAAGAATGAGGAGCCCTCGACCCTCAGCGCCGTTGCCTCGGCGCACTCCTTGCGAATGCCAGCGAGGGCCTCAATGAGAGGGTTGGTTCAGGGTTTAGGGTTTAGGGTTTAGGGTTTAGGGTTTAGGGTTTAGGGTTTAGGGTTTAGGGTTTAGGGTTTAGGGTTTAGGGTTTAGGGTTTAGGGTTTAGGGTTTGGGCTTTAGGGTTTCGGGCGAGGGGTTTGGGGCTTTGGCTTTGGGTTTTAGGGTAGGGTTTAGGGTTATGTTATAAGGGCTCAGGCTTCAGGGGTTTCGGCGTAAAGTTTCATGAGGTGTTTTTGTCAGGGGTTGGGGGTGTCAAAGTTCGTGATGAAGGCACTATAGGAGTGTACCCGCAGACCTCCCTCTTGCGTTGGCAGCTCAGACGTACCTAAACACCTAAACCCCTGAACCCCCCAAACCCTGAACCCTAAACCAAAAGGGGTTCAACCTTGGACCCCTAAGATTGTACCTTTGGGTTTGGGGACCCTTCTTCAAGATTCCCCAGGGGAATATACCAACTGGCCAGCTGTCTGCGAGCACTCGCACATTGTTGCAATGCGAGCCCTGAAGCAGTTCAAAGGGAGCCCTAAACCCTAGACCCTAAGCCCAACCCCAAACCCCAAACCCTAAACCCTAGCTCGGGGTTTTGGGCTTTAGGGGCTAGGGAGCAGCAATGCGCAGGGTGCGGGTTTCGGGGTTTGGGGTTTAGGGTTCAAGGTTTAGGGTTTAGGGTTTAGGGTTTAGGGTTTAGGGTTTAGGGTTTAGGGTTTAGGGTTTAGGGCCGAAGCGCGCCTCGAAGTTCGGCTTGGTGTAGAAGCGGGGAAGGTAGTTTTGATTCTCCTCGCGGAAGCTTTCGGGTTTAGGGTGTAGGGTTGGGGTTTAGGGTTTAGGGTTTAGGGTTTAGGGTTTAGGGTTTAGGGTTTAGGGTTTAGGGTTTAATTAGGGTTTAGGGTTTAGGGTTTAGGGTTTGGGGTTTGGGGTTTGGGGTTTGGGGTTTGGGGTTTGGGGTTTGGGGTTTGGGGTTTGGGGTTTGGGGTTTGGGGTTTGGGGTTTGGGTTGGGCGGGGGTCATGGGTAGTTCTAGGTGGGGTTTTTGAGTAGACAGGGTAAGTCGAGTAAGAGTTGGTAACCCTTTCGGGCCACTTGTCGCCTCACAGGAGGGGTCCCGGTTATAAGTAGAGTTGCAGAGACCCAAAACTGCGCAAAAAGTATCATAGGCTAGTATAGTAGGGGGGGGGGGGGGGGGGGGGGGGGGGGGGGGGGGGGGGGGGGGGGGGGGGGCTCTAAATCAGTACTTTTGCCCTTTGCTAAACCCTACTGCAAACCCCCAACCCCAACTACCCCCCCCCCCCCCCCCCCCCGAAGAAAAAGGAATTTTCCTTGCTAAGCCTCATCGGAGGGGTTTAGGGTTTAAGGTTTAGGGTTTGGGGCTTAGGGTTTAGGGTCAGGGTGGCCTTGAAACGACCTGGCAGCACGTTCTCGCTGTCCGTGTGCTTCCTGAGCCAGGCATGGCTTAGTGGTGCTAACCCTAAGCACAAAAAACTAGACGCTGAAGCCTAAACCCCCCCCCCCACCTTCTGCACTTCACCAAGATCCTCCTTAAGTCTCTCTTGCCTACCTACAAGGTAATCCTACATCACCCCCTTTTGGTTGTATATAATCACCCTAAACCCTAAACCCTAAACCCTAAACCCTAAACCCTAAACCCTTGACCCTTGACCCTTGACGCTTAACCCTGAAGATCTGCTGCCACAGCATCCCAGTGAGCAGCCCAGCTGCAAGGGGGTTGTAAGCCACAAAGGACACGCCGTGCCTGCAGCATCGCAGCATTCTGCTGAGCTTGGAGGGGTTCTGAGTAGCAGGGTTTAGGGTTTGGGGTTTTTCGGGGTTAGGGTTTAGGGTGCATCTGTGCTGAGCCTGGAGGGCTCATTTGTAGAGAAACCTGGGGTTATGAGTAGAAGCTCTAAAAGTGCAACAGGATCTAAGCCCATTGGGGTAGTTAGAACCCCAATCCAAACTACCCAAAAAACACAAATGAGCCTTAGGACCTATGTCTCGGCGCCCGGGAAAGCAAAAGGGTGCACGAGCTTGTTTCATGCTCATGACTTTAAACCCCAACACCGCTTCACACCCCCGAACCCCTGTACCCTACCCCCCCCCCCCAAAAAAAAAAAGTAAAACACTAAAATCCATGACCACAGGCTTCTCTGCGGCAGGCTTCAGGATTAGGGATTATGATGTAGGATAGTTGCGCTTCAGGGCGTGGGGCGTGGGGCCCGAGGCTTGAATGTTCTTGGGGTTTAGGGTTTAGGGTTTAGGGTTTAGGGTTAGTGTTTAGGGTTTAGGGTTTAGGGTTAGGGTTTATCTTAAAACGTCAGGACAATATGAGGCATCTCTCGGCACGTGCGCTAAACCCTCCACCCTGAACCTTGTTTAGGCTTGGGATGTTCCCCTTATACTTGCAGTCCTTAATAGCACTTGTAAGACCGGGTACAACAATTCCCATTCGGACTGTTAGTATAAGGGGGATCAACCCTAAACCCTAAACCCTAAACCCTAAACCCTAAACCCTAAACCCTAAACCCTAGTTTAGGCTGTACAGGACCAGGGGGCTTCCGAAGAACAGGCAGCAGCTCCTCCTCGACCAGGCGATTCCTGTGCTTCACTCCAGGAGCTTCTGCAAGACTAGCTGGGCTAGGGTTTAGGGTTTAGGGTTTAGGGTGTAGGGTTTAGGGTTTAGGGCTTAGGGCTTAGGGCTTAGGGTTTAGGGTTTAGGGTTCAGGGTTTAGGGTTCAGGCTTTCGGCTTTAGGGTTTGGCCTATAGGGCTTATACAGTTCGGGTCTAGGGTTTAGATAGGCTTGGGGGTGAGGGTACAGGGTGCAGGGCCTCCGCCGAGCTTTTGAGCCCTTGCGCGCTGCGTGCACCCACGCGTACTCGTCTCCAAGCCGCTCCCGTTTTCGGGTTTGGTTTAGAGTTTAGAGTTTAGAGTTTAGAGTTTAGAGTTTAGAGTTTAGAGTTTAGAGTTTAGGGTTTAGGGTTTAGGGTTTAGGGTTTAGGGTTTAGGGTTTAGGGTTTAGGGTTTAGGGTTTAGGGTTTAGGGTTTAGGGTTAGGGTTCTTATCGCGCAGTCAGCTCTTGCACTGCGCAGGTCGGAATGCCAGAGTCCAGCACATGTGTTTGTCTTCAGGCGAGAATGTTGCCTTGAAGCGTTGTTACGCGCACCCTCCTGAAGAATGTGCACCAAAGGGCATGCTGCTCCTAGTGTTCAGCGAAGGACATAGCGTCGGAAACTTAAAAAGGAAGCCCCAACAATATCGTGGATAAAAGTATAGCGGGGGGGTCGTTCTCTTGTTCAGGGTGCTGATTGTTCATGATCTGGCCCATGGCCCCAAAAGTTGTATCCATTTTGATTGCCAGCTTGGTGCTGTGTTCTAATCCGCACGACCAGACTTACAGAACATGTGGTTTAGCTTGGCTGCTGCGCGTGTGAACTTGTCGAAGTTCTCGGTCTGCGCAGGTTGCAGCAACATTGCATGGTGCGTGGACGCAGGGACTGTTGCTGTCCCCGGAGAGGTTTGTTTCTTTTACCGTGCCCTTAAAGGGCCCTGAAGCCGAAACAACATAGTATGCGTGTGATCTATCTATATTTGTATCTATATCTATATCTATATCTATCTATCTATATATATATATATATTTGTACATTTATGGTCACCCGCATATATAGATGTGTAATACATATGTATATGTATATATAATTATATATACATATATGGACCCCATCTATTTTGCTCATTCCTGCACTACCTTACTTGTTCTTCATCAGCGTAGGTCTTGGGTCTGATAATTAAGCTATCCCCCGTGTGCTCAATGGGCTACAGGCGTTCTGCAGGGCTCTGGCTTCTGGCTATGATGTGCAATCGTACGCCTGGTTTAGGGTTTAGGGTTTAGGGTTTAGGGGAACTTAATTACCCGTGCCCTCCTCCTTGCTGTTTGCAGCTTCTCGTTTCCTGGTGCCAAGTGAAAAAAGTGTTCGTACACACTCTTGCTGTTTTGGCTGTCGCACCCTTCTTCCAGCACCAGCCGCCTACCATCATCGAATGGGAGCTGCAAGCAGGACTCAACTCGTGAGCGATAGGTTTTCAGGGCTGAGGGTCTCAAGAAATTCTTCGGCAAAAACCTAGAATGTGCCGTTGCGACGTCTCAAGCAGCACTTTCGCGCACATCCCTGCGGAACAAGCCGCAAACCCTAAACCTCTAACTACGAAGCGCTTGCCCTTTACTGCACCTGGGCTGTTTCGGAACCACGACACGGGATTCAGGGTGTAGTACAGCGGGAGTATTGCTTAAGAATTCCTTGCTTAAGAATTTGAGGGCTGAATTTTCTTATGCATTGGATTGTTTCCGGCCCTTACTGGGTGTCTTTGACTTAAGAATTTGAGCCCCCCCTGAAATTCGAGGGCACATTCTTAATCCAGTTGTTTTTTTGCTTGTCATTGGAAATTTCCACTCACGACAACTCGAAAATCTTAGGTTGTAAAGCTTTTAAACACAAGGAATTAAGAATCTGAGCCCCTCAGGTTCTTAGCTTGTAAGCTTTGGCACACAAATCACAGACCTCCAGTTAAGAACCGAGCCCCTCAGATGCCGAACTAAAAGCCCGAATTAAGAATCTGAGCCCCTCAGATTCCTAGCTTGTAAAGCTTTTACACAAGCAGCTGCCAAAGGAAAAGCCCCGAATTAAGAATCTGAGCCCCTCAGATTCTTAGCTTGCAAAGCTTTTACACAAGCAGGCGCCGAAAGAAAAACCCGAATTAAGAATCTGAGCCCCTCAGATTCTTAGCTTGTAATCTTTTGCACAAGCAGGCCCAAATCACAGAAACCCCCAACTAAGAACTTGAGCCCCTCAGATTCTTAGCTTGTGAAGCTTTGGCCCCAAAAAAACAGAAAAAGCTCAAGCAATAGGCCCCTGCCTGTTCGCGCGCTCCCTTCTTGTAGCAGTTTCGGGGTTGAGGGTTCAGGCGTTTCAGGACTGCATTACCTGAAAGGGATTGAGTTCAGACCTCAAAAACCTCCAAATTAAGAATCTGAGCCCCTACAGCAGAGTTATGTGTGAAATCTTCCTTAAGTCGTAAGGATGCTGGCTCGAATCCCACTTAAGAATGTGCTAAGAATCTGAGCCCCCCCTGAAGCCGGAAGAGCATCAAAATGCACACTGAACAACTCGTTCTCTAGTTAAGAATCTGAGCCCCCCCTGACCAGACCCTTGCGCATTCATAACCAACGCTCGCACTGTAGTCGGGGCTCCAGAGCCTGAACCCTAAACCCTAAACCCTACTAGAGTTCTGACATGACCTCCATCTGCCTGTCTAGCCGCAGCAGCCTTCTTTTGCTGTACCGTCTCTGCCCGCCCTGAAGCCAGAAACCCTAAACTCAAACTCCTAAACCCTAAACCAGGGTTTAGGGTTTTAAGGTCGAAAAAACTGGCCTGTCCAGGCTCCTCCCGCATCGGGGTTGCCGCAATTTAGGGGTTTAGGGTTTAGGGTTTCGGGTTTGGGTTTAGGGTTCAGGGTTGGTGGCTTTCCGATAGCAAGGCTTACAGTCTTTTGGGTGGTATGCCAAGGGACGCCCCCCATTATTTTGGAGAATGCCCACAGCCTCCACTTAAGGCACGGCGAATCAATGCCTGCTTGCGATAAAATACTTGGCTGCACTCAGGAGGGTAGCTATAAATTAAACTTTTAGCTGCCTTGAGAAGAAACCCAATAAACCCAAAAAAGGTAAGGATCTAAAGGTACAGCAAAGTACCACAAAAAATAATACCACCTGAACCAAACCGCGCCACTGCACCCCTAGACCCTAAACCCTAAACCCTAAACCCTAAACCCTAAACCCTAAAGTTTGTGAGTTTCTTTGCACCAATCAATGTCTCAGTGTCAGCGGATTGTACAAGCCCTGGTACACGGACGGCGTTGCCCAGCCACGCTCCTCGCTTATGCATAAGCGGCTGCAAGCTCTAAGGGTTTAGGGTTTAGGGTTTAGGGTTTAGGGTTTAGGGTTTAGGGTTTAGGGTTTCGGGCAACTCTGACTGGTGCAGCGTTTAGCATCTAGGCTGCACTCTGAAACTCTTCGACTGCCAAGCCCTCGAGCTGCAAACGTACCACCCGAAACATGTAAAGCTCAAAGCCCTAAACCCTAACCCTAAACCCTAAACCCTAAACCCTAAACCCTAAACCCTAGAACCCTAAACCCTAAATCCTTAACCTCTAAACCCTGAGCCCACGAAATCCCGGTGCCGCAAACCCCACCTGAAGTCCTCAAAGCCAATCCTGCAAGGGGCTGACATCAAAAGCCTCCAAGTGAGAGGGTTTAGGGTTTCGGGTTTCGGGTTTAGGGGGTCCCTTTAGAATGATCCCTTCTATGCCCTGTACAACCCAAGGGCCCATACTTCAGAACCCATTAAGGGAGGCAAGGGACCATATTTAGAAATCATCTTCCCTAAACCCAAAACCTAAACCCTAAACCCTAAACCCGAAACCCTTAGAGATTGAACTCGTTGAACTCGATGAGGCCTACAAAAACCGTATAAAAACCCTAGAAATCCCCCCAACAGGCCCACTAAACACAAATTGAACCCGAGCTCCTTTCAACCCGACCCGAACCCAAAGAGCCCAATACCCCTTAAATAAGGAATAGACCTTGAGTATCCTTGAATCATATTAAGGATCCCTGTATAGTTTAAGGCATGTTCCTTAATTAAGGGGTATTGGGCTCTCTGGGAACCCCCCACCCCCCCCCCCCCCCCCCCCCCCCCCTAGCCCCTAAGGAAGAGGCCGCCAGCCTTGAACCCTGGGTTTAGGGTTTTTTGGGGGGGGGGGGGGGGGTGTTGGGGTTTAGGGTTTAGGGTTTAGGGTTTAGGGTTTAGGGTTTAGGGTTTAGGGTTTAGGGTTTAGGGTTTAGGGTTTAGGGTTTAGGGTTTAGGGTTTAGGGTTTTGGGTTTCGGGTTTAGGGTTTAGGGTTTGGGGCAAGGACTCCTTGCACATTGTGCAACAACGGTCAACCTCCAAAGCGCTGTAGTTACCTGGGCCAGGAAGATCTGGGGTTTCCGAAGTTGAGAAGTTGAGGGTTCCTAAACCCTAAACCCCCAACCCAAAACACGAAAAACCCTAAACCCTATGCCCCCCTTGAACCCCCCCCCCCTCCCCTAAGGATGTAAGGGTTAGGTGGTTAAGGAACTAGGGTTGCCGAACTTGAGGCTTTAGGCTCTAGGCTCCGTAAGGGGTCGTCTTGCTAGGAGATTCGACTGAGATAAGCGGCTGTTTTTGGGTGCATAGGGGTTTCCGAACTTTTGGCTGCAGAGCCACGGTTTAGGGTTTAGGGTTTAGGGTTTAGGGTTTAGGGTTTAGGGCTTAGGGTTTAGGTTTTCGGCATTATTCTGCGGGTCCTGTTCTTTCAGGAGATCCTACCATCCCTTGCCTCCCTCCGAGGGGTGAAAACACTGGGCATAAGTTGACGAAGAAGATATGCCAGCTACAATATCAATTGCTTAAAGAACCCCCCCAAAAAAAGAAAAAATCTATTCTTCCTTATAAAGGCAATATCGGGATTATTATCTTTTATTCTTTTGGGGTTCTTAAGCAAAAATAGTATACCTCCTAAGCACCAGAATGTCGGGGTTAAGGGTTTAGGACTTGGATGAAAAAAACAATCCTGAATCGTTGCAGAGGCTTGGGCTGTAAGTTTAGCCAGTGTGGCACATGTGGCACCCCCCCAGGCCAACCCCAAAACGCCGCAAATGAACCGGGGTTAACCCAAACCTATACGTCGCACGTGCGAAGAAGTACTCTGTTGTGCGCCCGGCCTAAACCCTAAACCCTAAACCCGAAACCCTAAACCCTAAAGCCTAAACCCTAAACCCAAAGCCCTGGGCTACTGAGGCAAACCCTTAGGCCCTACGTTGCAATGAGCCTTAAAGACATCCATCCAGCAGCATGGAGAGCACGAGAAGGGTCTTAAACTCAGGTTTAGGGTTTAGGGTTTAGGGTTTAGGGTTTAGGGTTTAGGGTTTAGGGTTTAGGGTTTAGGGTTTAGGGTTTAGGGTTTAGGGTTTAGGGTTTAGGGTTTAGGGTTTAGGGTTTAGGGTTTAGGGTTTAGGGTTTAGGGTTTAGGGTTTAGGGTTTAGGGTTTAGGGTTTAGGGTTTAGGGTTTAGGGTTTAGGGCCAGGTGTAAGTCTCTAACGCGCACTACACGCTATATTCATGATTCATGCCCCCCCTGTACGTGAGCCTCACATATAGAGAGGCAAAAGAAAGCAATTTAGGGTTTAGGGTTTAGGGTTTAGGGAGCCCGAAGATGTTCCATGCGGACTCGTGGCTCATCCCGTAGCGCTTGACTACGCCCTCGGAGATGAGCTGCTGCACACACTCGAGACTCTCGCTGAGATCATGGTCCGGATCTGGTTGGTGGAGATACCTTAAGGAACGTGCAGGTAGGGTTTAGGGTTTAGGGTTTAGGGTTCAGGTAGGCTGAC